CTTTCCCTAGTGTCAACATATGATCATTATCACATTCTCTATCATAGAATTTCACATTTTATATATAAGGTGAAAACAATGAATATCTATATCAACCACTCTCAATATGTCATATATATTCTCTATAAAAGTAATAATATAATTTTTCATGTCCCACCACATATCTATATCAACCACTCTCAATATGTCATATATCAACCATATATCAACCACTCTCAATAAAAGTAATAATATAATTTTTCATGTCCCACCACATATCTATATCAACCACTCTCAATATGTCATATATATTCTCTATAAAAGCAATAATATAATTTTTCATGTCCCACCACATGTCATCCAATATTTTTTTCCTTCACAAACTTCATCTTATCTATATCACATTCATGATATATGCTCCACCAATCACTAAACATCATAGTACGTAGTCCTTATTTTATTTATTTTGAATCGTTAAGTGTGACTAATTAATGCAAAAAGATCCCTGCAATGGTCAAGATTTACAGCTTCATAAACTTATTGAAAATTGACAATCATTTTGAATAATTCATAATGAAAGGCCTTATAAATGTGACATCTCTTATAATGTCATTTATCCAATTAGATTGTTCATAAGTGATCTTATTTCTTTTCACTTTTTGAAGCACAAATATTTTTTGATTTGAGGTTCAATGCATGAAAGTCCAAAAAATATGAGGATATGAGCCTCAAGTAGTGTTCTTGTAGCTCTGCATACACATGCATGGTCAATAATTATGCAAATGACTTTATTTGAATCTACCCTCATAATTACTTCTTTAATTTCATTGGCAATGTAAAATTTATTTTTATATGCCCCTTCTTAGTTAATAGATTTTATAAATATAGATACAGATTCTGCGAAACTAATGGGAAATATTCTTTGCATATTTGTTTAGTTAGCATAAAGTATGGTAACTTCTTTCTTATTCCAAATTTTTTTATGAGCTCAAGCATTCTTTCAACATTTTTCATTTCCTTTTGATAGAATTGTGTCCAGGTCCAAAACTTATCTGACACAAGAATAACACCAATTTAGGAACGTCGGCGCTACATAGAAACACACTCAATCTACAAACTAGTAACTAAAATTTGTGATTAATTTTGATCTATTGTGAATATCAATGAAATCTTCTAGAAACCGCAAAAAAGTAAACAATGCGACAATCAACTTTCACAATATTTCAATACAGTACGCTCTAGCGACAAGATTTCCTAAGGTAACTATAATAAGGCATGAGAGGATGATCAAATAAACAAAAGTGAGGATTCTCGTATCAAGAAAACGCACAATATTTGTTTTCCTTACTATAAAATAGATAATACAATAACTAAAACTCAAATAACGATGCAATGATAAAAATACATTAAAAATTAACAAGAAATCTGAACCATGCAGCATCAACAGTCGTACGTGTATAATGCTAAAAAGAATCACATGTAAATTTATAGACACAAGTTTGAAATTGGTATCGAACCAAAGTGCTTCATTTACTAGCTCCAGCTACCTATTTACCTAATTCTTGTTTCTAGGTTGGTAGATAATGTCGGTAAAAATATAAGCCCAGTTCGATTCCAATTAATCCAAAACTCACTTCCAACAGTGCAAAAAAAAAAAGTTAACTACATAGAATCAAGAGTAGACTGAAATTAAAAATCGTTTTAGTTATCAAAAGGATGTAAAAAGCAAAAACAATATAGCAGCAAGCAATACGATAGTGATTGCACTACTATAGAACAGGCAGTATTACAGCTAAAATATATAGTGATAAATAGCAAATAATTCCAACAACAGCATTACAGATAGTGATCCACAAAAACAGTAAATCTCCATCAAGACTATCATTTTTACGAATTTAAAATTTGATATCCATCAATTAGATTAAAGCATATATTATGTGCTTCCTACAAGGTAATCCATGAGTCATCATAAAAAGGTATGTCACAATAACAAATAAAATGTCTCTAGAATCCATCATTATTAGCGAGGCGCAATATCATTATCCAAAATAATTTTAAGAATAAACTGAATAGAATTATCTAGTAAAGGATTGGATGCGGATTCATAAGGTAATGGAAAGAGGAGAAACAAAAAGTGGAAAGGAAGTTCATACAAAAACACCAAATAAGCACATTGATAACTAAACTAATTTCAAATTTCAAGAATTTCCAAATTGTACTTGTTAATCATAGCACACTGAAAGATTTTAAATGACCTAATCCCTCTCTCAATTTCTTAAATGTTCTTCATGGAACCCTTTCAAATTTTAAACCCACCATTATTCTATCAGCAGGTTAGAACATCATCTACCCTCTGTCTATGTCAGTAGAAAGCTTACAATTCTCATAGTTAGCACAAAATTTTCAACAAATATCCAGCAGGTAGGTCTAAAATCAAAATAAAAAAATACCACAGAGACAGGTAGATTTAAATAAATAATAATCAATAAGCATATTAACTTAGGGGATGTGTGGTAGCCAGTTTAAAGCAGCATTTATGCTAAATCTTGCCAAACGCCAAAAAAACGCCTCCGTAAATCCCGAGCTCCCGTAAATCCCAAAATGATGCTCGTATGAATCGGGGAGAGCGAAGAAGAGGAATGACACGAACACGCTTACCTTCTCAATGGTTTCTGATAAGATAGGAGCGGAAGGATGAGAAAGATTGGAGTTTCGGTGGTCTCTGTATGCCGCGATCCCGTCTAATGGCGACAGTATCGAAAGGTTCGTTCACGAAGGCGGTGGTTTTGGGCGTAAAGGGTAGAGGGGCTAACATAAGCGAGGGTTTTGGGCAGGGAGAATTATTCAACAGTATCACGCATGTTAAGCTATATTGGGAGGTGTAAACTCTAGCTCCACCTTTTCCATCAGTATTCATGACCCGGCCCAGCCCTAAACTCAAATCCTGAAAAATTTTCTGCCAGCATAAAATTATTTCGAGCCTACAAGTTGTTCTATTCGTAGGGTGAAGAAATATTTCACAGTTTCGTTCATAGCTTCGTTCACAGCTCTGTCATAGCTAGGTATTGTTGGAATTATTCATGGACAATGAGATGTCGGAAGTCGAATTCTCCAGGAACATTGAGATGCCGGAAGTCTCTATGAAATGATATATAGTTTTATTTTTGCTTAGGGTTTTCATTCTGTTTCTGGTATTGTCATTTTTTTTTGTAGTGTTTATTGGTAAAATTTAGGGTGTTTTTCTGCTACGCCTTTTGTGCTATTATGCTATTAATGTGTTTTTATGCTATTAAAGCGTAGGTTTTCTTGGTGTTACTGTTGTGTTATTCTGGTGTTACTCTGGTATTACTCGTGGTTCTTGGCTTTAATTTAGTACCGTTTAGGTGGTATAATACTTGATTTAATCTAATATAAATGTTGGTGTTGATGTAGTGTTATTGGGTGTTGTTCTATAGTGTTGTTTTGTATTATTATGATTTTTTTTTTTGCGTTATTATGGTTTTAGGTTTCTGATTGTTTGGTGTTACTCTTGTGTTATTATGGTGTTACTGTAGTATTACTCCAATGTTATGTTGTTAATTGCCTTTGATTTTTGGGTGATGTTCATTGCGGCATTGTTTTTGGTATTATTATGGTATTTTATTTTTTTGTTATTATGGTTTTAGGCTTCTGGTTTATGGTTTTAGGGTTTTAGGCTTCTGGTTTTTTGGTGTTACTCTTGTGTTATTCTGGTGTTACTCTCGCATTACTCCAATGTTATGTTGTTTAGTGTCTTTGATTTATCACGCATATTGTGTTATTATTGTGTTATACTGATGTTACCATGGTTTTATGCACTCCTGTGAGGCAACACACGTTTGCAATGATCCAATTGCAGAGAAGTTTCTAAGCAGCATTATCCACAATGAGGAAGAAGTATATGAAAGTTATCGTGTTTATGCACATCACGTAGAATTCACTGTTCGGAAGGACCATACTACCTACTGGCCGAACTCCAAGAAACTCAAGGATAAAAATTATATTTGTGGAAAAGTTGGCTATAAGAAAGAGCCTAACATCACAGTTAAGTTCAGAAAAGCAGACACGAGGACTGGCTGTAAGGTCATGGTATGATTTCATGTTGATTTTGAAGGCAATTGAACAGTGGCGAAATTCATTGAAAATCATAATCATCCTTTGTCTGAAAGTGGTGATAAGCATCTTCTTCGTTCCAGCAGAAGGATAACTGAGCTCAATGCAGATGTGTTGAGATCAATGATAGGTTCATGGATTAGAGCAACACATGAATACAATTTCATTGCCACGGAGGTTGGTGGTGTGGAGATTTGGAATGCACCAAGAGAGATGCATTTAATTTCATCCAAAGAGAAAGAAGACAAAGAATTGAACAGGGAGATGTCAATGCTTTAATACAATTGTTCATGGAGATGCAAGCTGGGGATAGCATGTTTGCTTGGTATTTCCAAACATATGAGTCTGGTAGGTTAACAAGCATATTTTGGAGCGATGGGTTGTGCAGACTGGATTATGACTGTTTCGGGGATGTCATAATTTTTTATACAAGCTACAGATTAAATAAATATAATTTATGTCATTTGTGGGGTTTCCCCACCACTGGCAGAACGTACTGTTTGGAGTTGGATTTTTGTCTGATAAGACTATTGAATCATTCATGTGGTTATTCGAAAATCATTCATTCGAATAATGGGAGACAAACATCCCATAACAATCTTCACCGATCAGGATCAAACAATGGCAAGAGCCATTGGAGAATGCCTCCCACAAACACGTCACAGATTATGTCCACAGATTATGTCTATCTACAAGAAACTTTCTTCCAAAGTACATTATGAAGTGCGTATTAAGAGTGTCTGTGGTCTTTTTTATAAATGCTTGAGCAAGTGTGATTCTGAGGAGTTCGAAGAAACGTGGTCCTTAATGATTGAGTTGGGAGAACTACAAAGCAATGTCTGGTGAGATGAAATGTACCGTATAAGGCATAAATGATCAACAACATTTAATAAGGATATATTCGGTACGAGAATCTTATCAACACAGAAAAGTGAGTCGACTAATAATGTTTGTCATGGTTGTCATGGTGTTTCAAAGCCAATTAGCTCTCTCACGGATTGTTTTATCGATCTTGAAAACATAATGAAATCGTGACACCGAAATGAGAAAGATGAAGAATTCAAATGCGGTCAGTCCGTCAGAACGCCCATAGTTAAAATCAATCCCATGTTGAGGCAAGCTGTCTCATTCTATACAAGGAAGCTTTACTCAATGTTTGAACAAGAGCTATTGAATGGCTTATATGGACTTACAGCTAAACTATCAGTGGAGAGTGAGGCTAAATATTACGTATCAATATTGGATGATGAGGGGACAAGACAGCCCTGTAATGTGTTAGTTGACAAGGTTACTTGTGAGGTTACATGTAATTGCAAAAAAATTGAGATGATGGGGTTGTTGTGCTCCCATGCACTATTTGTTCTAAGTCTCACAAAAATAAAGGTGATTCCGGAGAAATATTTCTTATTGCAGTGGTCCATCAATGCTAAAAGGGACATGTATAATAGATTTGGGTGCAGAGATCTAAAAGACTCTGGCTTTAATAATGTTTCTTCAAGTTCCCTTATACTTTGTTCATGCTCTCAGAAATTTGCATATCAACTCATTAATAGAGCACAAGGAAATGAGTTAGCTGAGGAGTGTTTGTGGGAGACGTTTAAAAAATTATCTGGAGATATTGAGGATGCTCTAGCAGGGAGAACGATCAAAGTAAAGAAAACAAAAAAGAAGAAAAAAGTCACAAATATAGAAAGTAAACGTCCCTGCTAAAAAGAGGCCGAAAGGAGTATCTACATCTAGGCTAAAAGGACATTGGGAAAAAAATAAAAAAGCTAAAAGTATAAATTTTTTAATTTAATATTTCCTCATTTAGTTCCACATATAATGCATACTTCTAATTCGACCCATTGCATCCAGGAATGGAACAAGAAGCATTAAGTAGCCGTCAAGCTGTTGACGTATTCGAGCAAAGTTTGACAGATTGTCTTACCTAAGTATGTTGATAAAATTCAGTATCATTTCACTGCCTTTTATATTACATAATTCACTCAAATTGAACTTGGTATTACTCCCTTACTGCAGGAATACTATGCACTGCAACTAAGTGAAACGTACACTGGACTTTTGATGGATTCCATAAGTGAGAGTATAGATTGATTGAAATTGTAAAAGTTGGTATATTGTATCATCTTTAAACTTTATACGAAAGAAGTAATTGGTGGTTTATAACATGTTTTTGTTCAAATATTTCTGTCTTAATCTTTTTCAAACGTGGATAATTTGATTATCATAAATATCAATTGTGTAACACGTAGATAACACGTTAATAACACGTCAATAACACTCTGAGCAACACGTCAATAACACCCTGAGTAACACGCTGAATAACACTGGAATAACATCAGAGTAACATGTGTTACTCAGGGTGTTATTGACGTGTTACTCAGGGTGTTACTCTCGTGAAATTTGGTATATTGTATCATCTTTAAACTGTTAATAACACTGCAGTAACGCGTAAATAACACTTGAGTAACACACTGATTAAAACATTGAGCAACACACCCACTTAAACTTGTAGTAACCAGTTGAATATTAGGTTGTTACACGCTGAGTAACACGTAGATAACATGCGAGTAACACATTGAATAACACACTCAGTAATAAGCTGAATAACATGTTGTTGCACGCTTTATAACACGTGAGTAACACGTAGATAAGACACGAGTAACACATTTAATAACACCTTGAGTAACACGTACATAACATGGGAGTAACACGTGAATAACATGGGAATAACATGAGAATAACACGTGAATAATACGAGAATAATACGAGGATAACCCGAGAATAACTTGTGTTACTCCCCTCTTAATGTGCTGTCTCGCAGCGAATATTCCCCGTGTTACCAGCCGATTAATCGGCGTTACTCTGTGTTACCACGCGTATTGTGACGTGTTACTACACCGTGTTACCGTCGATTAATCAGTGTTACTCCACATTTCATCGTGTTATTCAGTCGATTAAATTTTTGCGATAAATTTTTAAACTATGTGAAGTATATTTTATATGATAAATTAAATAGGACAAGTAATTTTATTATTTTTATTAAAAATAAAAACATAAAATCATAAAAAACCAACATTCACCATGATATAAATATCCAGCGTGTTACTCATGTGTTATCTACGTGTTACTCATGGTGTTATCTACGTGTTACACTCGTGTTATTCACGTGTTATCTACCTGTTACTTTAGTCTTATTCAGCGTTTTAATCAGCCTGTTATTGGCGTGTTACTCAACCTGTTATTGATGTGTTACTCATGTGTTATCTACGTGTTACTCTCGTGTTACTCAGGGTGTTATCTACGTGTTACACTCGTGTTATTTACGTGTTATCTACGTGTTACTATAGTCTTATTCAGCGTGTTACTAAGCTTGTTATTGGTGTGTTACTCAGCCTATTGTTGACGTGTTACTCTCGTGTTACTCAGGGTGTTATCTACGTGTTACACTCGTGTTAGTCACTTGTTATCTACGTACTCTAGTCTTATTCAGCGTGTTACTCAGCCTGTTATTGGCGTGTTTCTCAGCCTGTTATTGACGTGTTACTCAGAGTGTTACTCACGTGTTATCTATGTGTTAGTCTCGTGTTACTCAGGGTTTTATCTATGCGTTACTCTCGTGTTACTTAAGTGTTATTTACGTGTTACTCTCATGTTATTCAGCGTGTAAACAACATGTAAATGACGTGTT